AAAAAAAAAAAAAAAAAAAAAAAAAGAAGGCTCCTATCACAATATAAGAGACTTTTTACCTGGTCTTTAACAATTAAAGGAAGTGAAACTTAAAACACTACAATTCTAGAATCCTGTATTTTCCAAACTTCAGAAAACTGTTAAAATGTAACTGCTGCCTCTGCATATCACTTCTTATAGAAGTAAAAACCAAAGTTCAACTATAAGCTGAATGGAAACATGAAAATATGCCTGAATATGATAAAAACTAAAAGAATATCATTTTTAAATGTGAATACACTGAAATTATATAAAAAAGAAAATTAACAAAAAAATATGACACCACATTTTATTGTAAAGAACACTACCAGGTGGATCTTTTTTATTTGTTTGAGACAGAGTCTCACTGGCCAGGATTAATTAGCCTGGAACTCATTATGTAGAGCAGGCTGGCTTTGAACTCAGAAAGCCACTTGTCCCTACCTATAGAATATTGGGATAAAAGGCAACTGGCTTATTGTCTTTACCAATTTCATTAGGAATAAAGGCAGAGTCATCTAAATGTAACCACTGTGTACTACAAAAACAAACAAACAAACAAACAAAACAAAAACAAAAACACATATGATAAACATTTATATTAGCTGTAAGCTTAGTGGCATAAAATGAACTGAATTAGGAATTTTCCTTTAAGTATAAGTAACGCTAAGCCTTGTTTTATGGCTCTCCACACAACGAGGTACACCACCACCTGTTTACCACCTAATTACTGTTAAACAAGTAATACAGTAAATTCCTACCTGATCATCATCTTCCACAACCACTAGAGTTAATTTATTCTTCTTAAAATCCAATCTGGTTATCTTGGGCCTGCAATAATATGAGATCAATAGTCAGATTAGGGGAAATCCTCTTCTGTATCAAGTACGTGTCCTCATCTTAACTCTCAACTCTGCTAAAGGAAAGGAAGCCAGCCCTGCCTGTCAAAGTCTCTAAAGGGAAGGCAAACATGTATTTCAAAAGCAACCAACTGACAAAACAATGCTGCCCATCTATCAGACCTAAAATCACACCCTAATGTGGCATAATAAATGCTGCAACTCTAGGTTTCAAAATTAAACAGCACAGGAATTAGATATAGCAAAAAGTCACTAAGTATTTTTAAAGGGCATAAAAGAATGTGTCACTGATTATGATCTTCAACTCTATTTTTACCAGCAACACCTGGAAATGAATTGAGTTTAGGTGGAAAGGCTTGAAGCCAAACAGTCTTGGAATGTTAAAAAACTTTAGCTCTTATCTGTAACATATGCCAAAATTCTGTATTAGCTCTAACTAAAATGTAATAATGTAAACAGTTTCTCAATTCTATGCTTTAGGGCTATGAAATCTGTACAACAACTCTTGAGTATGGAAGACAAAGACTGGGAAACAGGGGAAGCCACACTTGAAAGTAGGAACAGAAGCACTACCATCTCCCTCCCTCTCCATGGAGGCAAGAGAGCCTATGGAAAACACTGAGAGTGACAGCGCCCCGTGGGGTGGGGCCATCACATAAGGAGCATGTTGTAAGTGTACAACACGAGAATACCAAGGCACGCACTGACACAGTTTGAAACTAATGGGCTATAGACCTAGAGTACTTAAGTCTGTCTCTGGGCAGAGAGGTTACAGATAATAAGAGAAGAACAGGAAAACAGTAACTTCCTTCACTTGCAAATGTCTCATGATTCTGTTTCCACACTTTTATTCATTAATGATATAAATACATTGACTCATTAAAAACAAGACAAAAGTACCTCTGATATTTAACCCGGCTTACCAGAAAAACAAGCCAATTTTGGTTTCTCCTTCAAAAACAAGGACTCCTGTTGGAGTTAGTCCCAAGCTATAGTCATTGCCATCTCTAGCCTAATTTAAGAAGAGAAAATAAAGTGTTTGTACACATGAAGCAGGTCTCCTGTTTTCATAAGTGGTTCTTTTTCCAAACTAAATATTAATTATATACTGGCTAATATACTCCAGATGTTTCTGACAAATAATCCTCTTCAGGTTATAAAGTGTCAACCCTGCTCCCTAAACTACTTTTTAGTAAAGTCTCCTCAATAGTGGGCGTGGGTGATAGCAAACTACATCAAATAAAAAAAAGTCAATTAAAAATGTTTTTTTCTTACTGTAAAAAAAAATCAACACTTATACAAGGATCATATATAATTCTGGGAACTTTAGTTTTCTCTTGTTTCATGATCAATCTTTCTTTAGATTCTAGTCTTTTGTTTCAATGTTTGTTTTTGTAAGATAGGATTTCTCTACACACTGACGGCTGTCCTATGTAGACCAGGCTGGCCTTGAACTCAAAGAAATCCATCTCCCTCTGCCCCCTGAATGCACAGACTAAAGGTATATGCTACTAATCTCAGGTGACTCTAGTCTTTCAATATCTAATTTCAACCATTTTTCCTTACTACACATCTAAAATACTCAGAGGTATTATATAAAAACTCTATGCCTTCCCAAATACTGTAACATTCACAGTTGCCTTTAATCCTGGAATGGATTTTTTAAAAAATGATTTTTGTTGTTTTTAAATTATATGTATATACACATTGGGTACAAGTGTCTAGAGAGTCCAGAAGAGGGTAGAGCCCCTGGAGCTGGAGTTACAGGTATTTATGGAGAACTCAACTCAGGACTTCTACAAGAACAGCACATGCTTGCTCATATTTGCTGAACCATCCCTCTAGCTCCAGAATAAATTTTTAAAAAAGGTACCACGACATAGGGCTTACCTTGACCACATGCATATCAACACCATACATTTCTAGCCATTTGGCTTTATTCAGGTAATTGGTTTCAGCTTGTGCTGGTGTCTGACCTCTGAAATTATAAATATAGTAATTACAAGATAATAAGCACACAGTGAATTTTTTTAAACAAGAGAGAAAAAAAATAAAATAATGATGTGGGTGATGTTAAAAGTGTAAAGAAATGATGAGCTACCTGTATTCCTTCCATTTCTCAAAAATAGCCAGTTCCATCTCTTCAGTCTGGATGGGCACAAATCTGAACTCAGAGACAAGTTCAGGACTATGTTCAGCAAGATCATAGTCGCCAAGTTCAGCTACGAATACAAGTTAACACAGTTATGTCATGTTAGTAACACTAAGAAAATGCTTTAAAAAAATTTTGTAAACAAAGATTAAGAAGACCAGTAAAACTCCTTCTTAAGCTACCAGGCATTCTCAATGCCTATGCCATTCTCCTCTGATACATCTAATTTAGACCTAGGATTGGTTTGAGAATAACCCCCATAGGCTCAGGATGCTTGGTCCAAAGTTGGTAGAACTGTTTGGGAAAGATTTGTAGGTAGCTCTGTTGGAAAAAATGTGTTAAATGGGGGTAGGCTCTGAGGTCTAAAATTTCCATGTCATTCCCAGTTAGCCCTCTCTCTGTCTCATACTTGTGGATTAGATGTGTGCTCAGCTCCTACTTTAGTGACATGCTTGCTGGCCTGTTGCCATGCTCCCTGCCATGATGGTCATGGATTCTAACCTTCTGGAACTGCGAGTGCCAAATTAAATGCTCTCTTTTATAAGTTGCCTTTGGTACTTTGTCATGGCAATAGAAGAGTAAGACAATATAAATCACATTTGTTGTTGGTTATGTACTTTTAAATATACATTTCTAATTTATTAATATATTAATACATATTAATGCTTAGCTTTTGAAAATAAATTTCTGTATTTCCGTAGAGAAAAAAAATCTTTGACTTTTAATTCATTTTTAAAAGATTTATTTACTTACTTAATGTATATAAGTGCTCTATCTGTATGTATACCTATATGTCAGAAGAGGGCATCAGGTCCCAGGATAGATGGTTGTGAGCTACCATGTGGTTACTAGGAATTGAACTCAAAACTTCTGGAAGATTAGTCAGTGCTCTTAACCACTGAGCTATGTCTCCAGCCCAACCTTAATTCTTAAAGACAATCACCACCTGTTATCTAAACACACACACACCACCACCACCACCACCACCACCAACAACAACAACAACAAACCACCCAAGATGCAAGATATAATACCTTTCTGTAATTCTGTGTGAGATGTATGTACCTGAGTGTTTGAGGACATACTCTTATGCCTGTGCATGCAGAGTCCAGAACAGGATGTCAGGCATTTCCTTCTATTGCTTTCTGACTTATGGCCTAAGTCCAGGTGTCCCACCATTTTGGATGGCCATCAGGTTCTTGGATCTGCCTGTCTCAGCTCCAAAGTTCTAGGAGACTTTGGCAGATACTGATATGGGGCCATGTATTGGTATCTTTCTTTCTGCAGATTAAGAACCCTTACTCACTAAGTGATCTAACAGTCCCACATAAACCCTATTTGTAAGCATATATTTTGGCTGTCAAGGGGGACAAACAGAACATAGATAGCATTTTTAAATTAATGTCTCACCTTTATTATGCAGATAGAAAGCATGTTTTAATTTGGAGACAGTACAATAATGAAAAAAGCCAAGTAGATAAAAATTCTTATCATGAGGAAAATATGCTTTAATAACAGACATTCAAAATAAGTAAAAACATTAGGCTTACTATAAAACATGGAAATGTAGTTTTATTATCTATACAGTGACAAACACTGATCTTAGAATGATGAGAATGTACAACCACTAAGAAGGCAAAAACCCAGTCTTGAGCATCATTAATTCTAGTTATAGTATCATTCGTTTATACACACACACACACACACACACACACACACACACACACACACACACAC